GATTCTGAATCCCACCAAGTAAAAGGAGATGACAAGGCTTTGTCCAGGGCATTTGGTCCAGGGGGTCAGCCAAAGCCTTGCTATCACCCCAAATCCAATCCTCATAACAGGCCTAGAGGTACAGGAAGGAGGGTTGCTGTGAATAGAAGAAACATGGTTTTAATGGAGCTTTCTTCTCTCAGTTTCAAAAAAGGAAGGAAGGAAAGAAGGGAGAAAGGAAGAAAGGAAGGAGGGAGGGAGGGAGGGAGACTATTTACGAAATTTCCAGAGATGTAGTGGTAACTTTTATACTGAGTATGCCAAAGTGGAGATTGAACTAGGGATGAGAGACTAAAATTTTCCAAGTTTTTTGCCTAGGGAAATGTATGAAAAACTCTTCAGGAGCGGTCAGGAAAAGCACTAAGACTCAAGAATATAAGGGAACCAACAATCTGTTTATATATCTATATATATATATATATATAATGCATATATATATATATGCATAACTACATTTGATTGAAAATCTAAAGGCAGCATGACAGCGCTGCCAAATGTCCTAAACAAGATATTTATCTTTTGACTAATTCTTTATTTAGAAACTATAGGGGAAGGGCAGAAGAACTGGAAGAAAATATACCCCCGAAGTATGTCCTCATGGTGGGAGTTACATGGTTCATCTTTTTTTAATAATCTTATAGTGTAGACCATTCTATATTTATGTTTTAATTTTCCAATCAGATAAAATAAACTTTATAAGATTTTAATAAATGTTCCCACCTCCAGAAACCCCCTTCAGATCCTTACTGATACAAATGTTTCCAGGCAGAATCCATAGGGGAGAAAGACTTGCAGTGTATTGCCTTTGAAACAAAGGAAGGGGCTGGAGGTACAGGGCAGTAGTCAGACACTTGCCTTGTATGTGTGAGACACTCAAACTAAGGAAAAGGTGGTCTCTATGAGGAAGATAAAAGAAAATGATCTGTGCAGTTCAGCACAAGGGCTCAATGTTGTCATGCTAGATTGACCTCTTCTCTTATCGCTCAGCCTCTTGCCTTCTGTATCCATAACACTGTGAGAAGGTCTACCCAAATATACACAGCAAAGGGTAAGAGAAGGCATTGCCACTGGAGGGCACATACTTTCTCAGAATGTTCCATCCACCAGAGGGATGTGAAACTCCTTGATCTTTACAATGGGATAGTTGGTCCACATCTAGCAATTGGCCCCTGACTTCTTTGCATGGTGAAGAGACTTACTCTATAAGTTTTGAGCTGACAATGTCTAAATAAAACATATATTCCCAGATCCTGCCCAGGCAGTACTGTGCCACCGAGTATAAATCCTGGTAGCTTTGAAATCCGTGGCTGCTATGTAAATGCCTGATGATAAAGACCAAGCTTTTATTTTCCTGGGGCCTCGATAAGTACTGATCAATTATTTATCCCTGTTGAGTTACATAATTTTATTGTAGTCTATCAGTATTTATCATGGCTGCTCATTCTAATTGCATAGTTTGGGGCATTTTCATACTTTCTCTTTAGAGTTCTTGTAGTACCCTTTACCCACTTCCATGTCTAAATGTTGCTATGCCGATTTATTAGCTGTTGCTACTGGGTATCTTTCTGAAAGATAAATGAATTTCATTCTGTCTTTAAATATTTATGCTTTTTTATGATCTAATATATCATCATGGTTATAGGGGATTTTTCCCCTAACTGTAGAAAATACACCATCAGTTACCTGTCAATTTTGTTTAATAACTCAGCTTTGCAATTCTAGCTCAGTGTTTATCTGAAGCTCTTGAGAATTCTTTTAGCCTCCCAGTTCACTTCAGAGTGTCACTCTGGGATTTAGAAAGGTCTCCGCTACACAGGAGCTCTCGAAACATGAAGAACTTACGTGGCATCTCCTTTGTCATTCTCACCCTGGAAGACCCAGGACAGGAAACCCAGGCATCTTTGGCTTGTTGTTTGCTCTGAGCATAGAGCAGCAGCATCTGTAGAAAACCAGCCCGTATCCCTGGAAACAATTCATCAGACTTTTCAAATAAAATCCAATCTCATCTGGTCCGATGGGCTCAATGTTACGTCTTAACATAAATGATGCAAATATCAATATCTGCTGCAAAGAACCCCAATTCTTTTGGTTTAATCTCCATGAAAAACATCACAAACCACATACGGCTTCTATAGCCATCCATGCTTTTAAGACCCAGTTTAGAAGAGATGCAGGCAGACTCTGGCTCATACCCAGAAGCTGGCTAGGAACCTTTGACAACCACAGTGTCTGCGGATGGGAGCTTGGCACTCTGCCCCTTTCATAAGCTCCCTAGATAATTTCTAGCAAAACATTCTCATGTTTGAGGAACTAGTGTGCTGCAGTTTTTAAAGCCTTTCTAGCTTTGAAAGAATCATGAGACCCAAATTATTATTCCATTTAATAAATCTGGATTCATACATGTATTCTTCTTGAGCACTTTTTAAAATGTATATTGTTAGAAAATTCCCTAAACAGATAGCTTTCTCCCACCTGTGCTTCTAAGGGAAACAAGTAAATGATATGTCATTTCTCAAAAGAAGGACCTATGTCAGGGAGAAAGCCATGGTGGGCCAGGTAATTCAGAGTCATAAATAAGTCATGAGACATGGCTGGGAAGGTGGCTCAGTGGTAGAGTGCTTGCCTTGCATGCATGAGGCCCTGGGTTCGATTCCTCAGAACCACATAAGCAGAAAAAGCCAGAAGTGGGTGTTGTGGTTCAAGTGGTAGAGCTCTAGCCTTGAGCTGAAGAGCTGAGGGACAGTGCCCAGGCCCAGAGTTCAGGCCCCACAACTGGGAGGGGGGGGGGAGTCATGGGACAAATGGGATGCATATTCCTTTAAATTACAACAGATGCATGCGGGGGAGGGGTATCTTGCGAAGCTCACGTGGGTTGTGCGCAAAATGTGCCGTTTCTAATGGTTTCCTAGCTACAGCTGATCCTGGGCTCCCATATCCCTAGAGGGGCTTCACTCTTCTCTACCACAAATACTTCTGCCTGCATCCAAGGGTGCTCTTGATGGGTGGTGCCTAAACATCTGGCTCCATGAGGTTACAGTGAATAATCATTTGAAGCCACTGCAGAAAATGAGCACTAAGAGGTCCCTCTACCTGGTGACATTGAAGAACTTGCTCTCAGGAGACTCTTACGAAGTTGTCCATCTAAAATGAACCCTTTTGTTCTTTCCACTGTGTAGGAAACATTCACAAGACTGTCATTTCACGTTTATTAGTATGTTAATTAAGGAAGTATGGTGAGCAGAAGAGAAGAACCCAGAGCCTGGGTTGAACTTCTCCTCATTGGTAATATGGAAGCATATGTCTGTTACAGTCATTCCTCCCCACTGAAGCCAATGCCCTTAGTCAAATGGCTTTCCAGTTCCCACTTTTGCTAGAATTATAATGACCCCTCTGAGACTATTCTGCATTCTGAAGTCACGTTTATCTTCCAGGAGCATGACTTTCAAACAGTAGCTTCTCTGTGGGAGGGAGATCCCCGCAATTGCTTAAGCCTGAAGTCCTAGTCTGATGATCTCACATAACCTCCTTGCTTTATCTCCTGTTTCCAGGACTCCATTATTCTACTCTACTCTCATCAGGTCAGTTTCCACTGCCTTTTCTCACATTCTTCCTTCCATGTAGCATTTCTCCCCCAGAAGCTCAAACTGACAGAAGCCTATCCCACGTGGGGCCTCATCCTTGGGTCCTCATCTTCCTCTCTTCAGGAAGGATCTCTCCTTCCTATGCTATGAATTCATAGCATGCACACCTCACTCACAAACATGTTGAACATTCTTCTTGCCAGTTCTCGGTGTCTTTGAAGACACGCTTTTGAACTGAATTCATGTCCTGGCATCTTCACTCACCGTCTTGGTGACATGGGCTGAATCCCCTAACTTCTTGTGGCCATGCATTTCTGAGAAATACTGAGAAAAACGAGGGTGTCCTTTGTCAACAACAATGTCATCCTAATTTCTCTGCTTTTCTTTACTTTTCCTCCTTGTCTTGGAGCTGCTTAGGAAAGGCAGAATGTCTTACCTATCATTGTATTCTAATGCTTTCATGACAATACTATTAGCATATTAGTGTTCTATTTCTATACAGTTCATCTTCATGAAGACCAACAGAGGTAAACACTAAAATTATCCATTTCATAGAATAAAAAGACAAATATTAGCCAGGTGCCGGTGGCTCACGCCTGTAATCCTAGCTACTCAGGAAGCTGAGATCTGACGATCACAGTTCAAAGCCAGCATGGGCAGGAAAGACTATGAGTCCTATCTCCAATAAACTACTAGAAAACTGGAAGTGGCGCTGTAGCTCAAGTGGTAAAGCGCTAGCCTTGAGCTGAAGAGCTGAGGGACAGCACTCAGGCCCAGAGTTCAAGCCCCACGACCGATTAAAAAAAAAAAAGACAAATATTTCACAAAGTCTCCAATAATTAAAAAAGACATTTATTCCAGTGTAGGTACAAGCATTGAAAGCTGCTTATAGCTTGCTCTTGGAAACATTGTGCTAGGCTTGTCAGTGTTAAGTCAACTTGTTTGATTTTTGCTTTTTAAATACCTTTTGAAAGCCTGATTTTAGGATAGGTAGATTCAGATGTGTTGTAGAAAGCAAATGTTCCTGTTTTTTGTAGATTATCCATTGTTTTTGAGTAATGCCCAATGGATGTGACAAAACCTTTATTGTCTCACCATAGAGCCTTGATGATCAATAGGGGCAAAGTAGATATTGTTAAGCTTTTTGCAAACCTAAAAAATACAAAATAAAGCAACCAAGATTAATTTTTTACAAAGATGAGTGAATGAATGAATGAGCGAATGAGGGGGACAAAACCTGCCTTCCAGGAGATCAGTACCTATTTCTTGAATAAGTAAACAAACTCACCTAGGATGACACACTCACAGGCAGTACATTCTTCCACAGTGAGCCACCAGGCTGACGGAGAACCTCTGAACAGTTCTGTCTTGCTTCTCCAGGCAGTACTACGAGATGCTGTACAACACGGCCGATGAGCTCCTGAATCTGGTGGTGGACCAGGGCGTGAAGTACACGGAGCTAGAGTACATCCACGCCTTGACCCTGCTGCACCGCAGCCAGACCGGGGTGGGAGACCAGACCATCCAGAACACCAGGCTGCAGCGGCTGAAGGAGATCATCTGTGAGCAGGCCGCCATCAAGCAAGCCACCAAGGACAAGAAAATAACCACTGTCTAATGGAGTGGGCTGTGGGGAGGGTGGGAGGTGGGGGGAGGGAGGGAGGCTACAGGGGCATTGTTTTTAGTCTGTCAGTTAGAAACTAGACACATTTCTTTCTCTACTGTGTTATTTTATTTGTTATAAATCTGAACTGGCTAAGTTTCCTCTGTGATGCTTTAGTGGAAAGATGGTGTTGGAATTATGTTCTCTTTAGCTATTCTTATGACCATACAAGGAAAAGTATAATGCAGATTTTGATGGAACAACTACTTTAGGGCAGTGTTTTCCCCAGGGGCTAGGGTGGGACAAGGGAAGAGGGTGCCAAAATATGGGAGACTAGCCAGGGCGCCAGTGGCTCATGCGTGTAATCCTAGCTACTCAGGAGGCTGAGATCTGAGGATCACAGTTCAAAGCCAGCCCAGGCGGAAAGTCTGTGAGACTCTTATCTCCAATAAACCACTCAGAAAACTGGAAGTGGTGCAGTGGCCCAAGTGGTAGAGTGCTAGCCTTGAGCTGAAGAGCTCATGGACAGTGTTCAGGCCCAGAGTTCAAGCCCCAGACCAACAAAAATAAATAAATAAATATATGGGAGACTTAGGGGAAAAAAATGGGTTGCATGAATTACTAATTCATATTCTGATTATTGCCTAACATATAAAATTCCAGCCTGAAAAGCCAACTGCAACCCAAGTTTTAGTCCTGTCCTCAAACCATCCAGTAGAGTTCCACCCCAGAAACAATAGAATTTTTACTCCCCTTGTTTTGCCAGATTAGAAGGCAATGAAATACAAGGACACATGCGTTGCTTTCTGTCTCTATTGCCAAATTCAAATAAACAGCTTCTCAGTTGGCCATGCCTTTCAGCAGATTTCCCTCCCAGAACAGCAGCCCTCTTCTTGATCCCCACCCCACATGCTGTAGCTTCAGCCCCAGGCTGTTCGTTGGTTGGCAGCCATTTTGTTTTATTTCTTGTGCTATCTAAACCAAGAGCCATAAGGTTAGGAACAACAGTGGAAGCATGGAAGGTAATTCAATCCTCTGCTTGCTTTAGGCATCTCATTTCCAAGAATAAATAATGGCTGGAAAACTCCCTGTCTCACTTGAAACTTTATTTGGTGGTAAACTATTCTGCTTACCCTCTCAAGCACCTTTGTCATCTTGGAAAGTAACCAGATCTGTCACTGAGGTCAAGGAAGAGGAGCCCTCAGAGAACGCTCCTCCTCTGTGCCTGTCTCCCAGGCTGCGGGCACTCAGTGTCCTGGGCATGCCGGAGGGATCTCACCGCAGTCCCTAGCTCCCCAGTGCCCCTGCTGCTTATGGCTCCTGTGTATCAGGAGGCCACTGCGCCCTGACAGATGCATCTTGAACACATGCGGAAATGAGAGCAAGAAGACTGGGACCATCCAAGGTCGCACCTTACCCCCTGATGATCATGATTTTTTCATCTCTTTATAACCACTTTGGGTTTGGTGGGAGAAACAAAATTAAAAACAGTCTGGAGAAGCTGAAATCGTGTTGCTCTTATTTATCAAGCAGAGATTTCCTGGAGGCCTCATGGGTGCCAAGTGCTGTGACGTATGGAGCACATGTATTGAGAAAGAGGACACACTTGTTATCTCCGGGGATGGAGCTGAATTTGAACCCCAACCCCAATGCATGCACACACAGAGCTGAGGTAGAACTCAAGGCAGATGGCAGAGCAGCTGTGCAGATCCTGTGGGGAGTGGCATGGTAGCCCTGCAGGGGTTTGGGGGAGGAAGGCACGCTGCAGATTCCTGTGGCTCAGAGGCCTGGCTGAGAGGACATTGAGTGTGTACTGGAGACAACAAGTAACTATTCTGTCCCCAACTGGGCTTCGAAAGCCTGAACGCAAGAAGTAGGGCTGCAAGGAGAGACGAGGGGTGCCTAGATTGGACCACTTTTGTTAGGAAACTTCTCCGTGGCAGCCCTGGTCTCCTAGCTTACATTCTGCACCTTCTCTTTTCCTTCCTGTCCACTCCACGGTGGGAGCCTGAGTGGCCACCATGAGCGGGAGCCTGAGTGGCCACCATGAGCCAGAGGAGCCAGCAGGAGGGCTGGGAGTGGGCCTGGGCGGCATGGAATGGCATGACCCCCGAGCTCCAGCACTTCCCTGGCAGGCGAGCGGCTTCAGGAGAGCAAGTAGGAAAGTAGCATCCCTGCGTTCCTATGACAATGAGGGGATCAAACGTGTTAAGCTGCACAGAAAAGGGCCTGTAGGCCTCAAGACAGAAATTTCTTTGAAGATTCATGCATCTGTCTATGTTCACAAAATAGGAATAGCCAATGATGTTTTCACTGGCTGTTTTGGGGTGGATGCTAATGGAGATGGGATGGCCACGTAGATCCTGGCACCACTTGGACCACAGTAAAGATTCTTTCCAAGCTATGGCCCTACTTTGGGGATATTTTATGAGACTGGTTTTGCAGTCTTAACAGCTATGACTGGCATTCCCAAAGTGTTGAAGGTCTGCACACTGACAAAGTGTTCAACTATGAAGATCAATCCCTAAAATGTGATGTTACAGTTAAAAAGACCAACAGAGGCCAGGTGCCAGGGGCTCACACCTGTAATCCTAGCTACTCAGGAGGCTGAGATCTGAGGATCACGGGTCAAAGCCCTTCTACACAGGAAAGTCTGTGAAACTCTTATCTTTAAATAATCACCAAAAAGCCAGAAATGAAACTTGGCCCAAGTGGTAGAGCTCGCCTTGAGCAAAAAAGCTCACAGACAACACCCAGGCTCTTAAGTTCAAGCTCCAGGACAGGTAAACAAACACAAAAAGGCCAACAAAAATAGGGCTTCCCTGTTGGATTGGTTCACCCTTTGCCCTTTGTCTCACCATTTTGTAGTTTCCCTTCCCTTCCCTAATTCAGATAAACGTATATACAATATACTGAGTACCAAAATCAAATACAATGACAACAACAGATAAACCATATGGGGAAAAAATGTAAGAATAAAAGAAGTAACTTCACATAATACATTAAAAACAGCATCAAAGAACAGAAATACAAGACAACACATTGGAAATGAACTTTACAATTTGGGGGGGGGCAGGGTAGCATTTGGAGGGAGGGAAAGTGGGAGAAAAACGAGGGAAGGGGTAACAATGAGAAGAAATGTACTCATTCCTTATGTATGTAACTATAACCCCTCTGTCAATAAAATTAATTTTTTTTTACAAATAGGCCTTCCCAGAAAGACACAGAAAACAGTACACCATCATCTTGCCCCTTCACAAAAGAACAAAGGAGCCTCCATACCCAGGCATTTCACATCGACAGGCTCAAGCAACCATAGATCAAATGTATTTTTTGTAATGTATTAGAGCCTGAATGTGGCATGTAATCCCAGCTCTCAGGAGGTGACACCCTGTAACAGTAAGCCTGAGGCCAGCCTAGACTACGTTAAAAGTCCTTGTCTTAAAAATGTAGGCCAGAGTGGAGCGCCTGTGGCTCACATCTATAATCCTAGCTACTCAGGAGGCTGAGAGCTGAGGAAAACAGTTCAAAACCAGCCCGGGCAGGAAGCTCCATGAGACTGTTATCTCCAATAACCACTAGAAAACCGGAAGTGGTGCTGTGGCTCAAGTGGTAGAGCGCTCACCTTGAGCTGAAGAGCACAGGGATAGCGCCCAAGCCCAGAGTTCAAGACCCACAGCCAACAAAAAAAAAAAAAAAGAAAGAAAAGAAAAAAGAAAACATGCCATTTCATATGAAAGACTTGGACATCCATTGGTTTTGAAATCCACGGGGGGCCCTGGGCCCAGTCCCCTGCATATATCAAAGGACAGTCGTGTGTGGAAGACTGCCTATAGCACTAGTCATAGCACCCTGGAGGGCTAACAGGATAGGACAAGACCTAATAAAGATGATAAACATAATCCTGAAGGCCAGCTTTGCGGGTGTGCCCAAGCCTTGACCACCACCTGGGAGAACGCAGCTGTCAAGCAGGACAGCTCCCAGGGAACGTTCTCACCTCTGTCATCCACTCTGTGCTACCTGACTTGCTTTCCCAATTTGTCCTTCCAACAACTTTCTACCACATCCAAGGGGTCAAAAACAACCAGAAGCCTCTCTCCCAACTTAGCCACCCTTAGAATAAATTCCTCATTTAAAAAAAGAACTGATTTCACAGATTGGATCTAGAACTGCTGCTCACGGTTTCTCCTGCCGTTTTAGGTTACTTTTAGCTATCTTATTATCGCCTGTCAGAACACCTTTTAATTTATAAACAAAATTGTTCTTCGGGTGCTATTGTGCCCTTCACCCCACGAGCACTCATTTAAAATACCTGTCCTATTAATAGCTTCTACAGCTTTCAGAATCCTAGGATAGGTGTTTTTTTTTTTTTTAATTCCTCCCTTACAATGGGTTTTTCTTTTAAAATCTTATGGCCAACCCGAACTTTCTCCCCCCTCACAGCTAATAATATCCCTGATTATTAGACAAAGAGGACAACCCTGCTCCCAGGCCTTGGAACACAAGGTCCTTTCAAAGCAGTCCACGTGGGCTCCAGTTCAGAAGCACGCTCAGGCCCGAGCTCCAGTGGCCCATGCTTGAGTCACACAAAATCAGTGGTGAGACCCTCCCTCCCTCATGGTTGTCTTGCCTTCTGTGGAGTAACCGCATTCAAAGAAGCTCCAGCCCCTCTCCGGGACAGCATTCTTGTCTGAGCCCCCAAATCGCTGTTCTATTTTCAATAGCTTGGGAAGAAAAGCTTCCACTCAGACAAATGGGATTGGCAACAAAACCCTGAAGATTCTTCCTGTCAAGTTATATCCATGATTTCTTAGCACTAATGCATTCATCCAGTCAATCAGAAAGATATAATTGCCTGCTACAGCTCAGGTGATATGGGATTCGTACAATAGCAATCAAAAAAGACAGTCCCTGTGACACAGAATTTCTACTTCCAGTGGCTTCTTAAGATCTCCCCTGTGATCTTGCTCTTCCCACAGTCCACTCGTTCCCCTCAGCAATCTAAGACTGTCCTTTCACTCAGGAAGATGTCACATAACACCCT